CTACATAAAATCTTAGTGTGTAAATGTTCTGACCAGGAAGCATGAATAAGTCATATAAAAGTAATAGGAGGAGCTGGGGTTGTAACTCAGTGGTATAGCGCTCACCTAGCACATGTGAGGCCCTGGGGTTCAGTCCTCAGCGCCACATAAAAATAAATAAAACAAAGGTATTGTGTCCAACTACAACTAAAAAATAAATATTTAAAAAAAAACAAAAGTAATATGAATAATTGTTTTTAATATTTTCCACTGGTACTACTTGACAACTCAAATTTCCAAAACAAGTTTTACTTTAGAAGCAGTTTTTAGAAGTTAGCAGGGCATCATTGAAGGTAAAATAACAAAGAGAATGATAATTGAGTGAATGCCTCAGTTGGCATACAAAGAGCTTGATGTATTCCTAAGAAATCCTACATAAAAAAAAAAATCTTGCAAATGGAATTCCAATATGCTAGGCCATTCACCATTCTACTTATTTTGAATAAATCACAGTGCTCTTGGAGTTTCTGAAGGAGTAAGACATGACCCTTGACCTTATGAGTCTCATAATGTCAATGATCCAGTGACCTTTTTCCTATTTGTAACAGTGACAATCTCTTTCCAAAGCACAAAAGTAAGGCACTAACAAAATCACAACCTACCCTTGACTTTAAAAAAAAAAATATATATATATATATAATATTTATATTTTAACTTGTTGGTGGATATTTATCTATCTATTTATCTATCTATCTATTGATTTATTTGAGGTGCTGAGGATCGAACCCAGTGCTTCACATATGCTAGACAAATGCTCTACCACTGAGCTACAACCCCAGCCCCCAATTTGCCTTTTTTGTAGTTTATATTTCATATGTGTGTGTGTATTTATGTGTGTATATGTATAGTGCACACAAATATATATTTTTAAAAACCCAGATATCAGTAATTTAACTCCTACCAAAGTCTAACAAATACTTTTATAAAAAGTTGTAGTATTTAATGAATCACAACAAGAAGTGCCAGAACATTGGGCTAATTGGAGAAGGATCAGATTCTCTACATTCTTTAAAATCTCAGTTTGGAACAGGGAGAGCAATACAAACAGAGGCACATGTTTTGTCCCAGGGCCCTGGGAGACTGGCCTTTTCCTGCCAGCTCACTGTGGGGAAATGTTTGGTTCTTCCCAACCAAATTGATACCATCTTGATAACAACTTTCCTTCCCTTACTGGGAAACTTCTGCAAATGACTTATGGCGTTTCCTTGGATAAAACAATGAACTTCTAGGGACAGAATCCTTATCTACATAATAATAGATATTTAGCCTAGGATTTGTTAAAGTTTAATGAATGAATGAATATAAAACCTATCATTCTTTTCTAAGCAAATTATTATATTTACCAACCCAATTGCCTACGAAACTACATTTTACAGAATTTAATCCTATGCTATCAGATTAAAAGCAGTGTGTGTGTGGGGGGGGCTGGGGTTGTGGCTCAGTGGTAAAGTGCTCTCACCTTCCATGTGTGAGACACTGGGTTCAGTTCTCAATTTAGTATCACATAAAAACTAAATAAAGCTATTGTGTCCCTCTACAACTAAAAATTATTTAAATATATATATATATGTATGCTATATAATATATATACATGTATATTTAACAAAAAGCAATGCCATTTTCTTACCATTCGTGTTTTTAAAGTTGTATGGTTGACAGGTAAATCAGATGAGTGGCACAGCACTTACAGTAAACACATTCACACATTAAGGTATGAGCAGTTGGTAAGTTGTATCAAGAAGTGACCACAAGCATTGAATGTTCTGTCTGACTCAGTTATCATTAGATAACGGGGCCCCTAACTAGGTATTCTCTTTGGCACCAAATGGACTCTTAAGTGGACACTTCCAGTTTCCCTTGATTTGTCTCTTCCAACCTCATTCATACTTTGCAGCTTATGACTAATGAAAATGAACCCCTTTCCCCCATTAAATTCTTATATTCATAGTTTACTTCTTCCAAATATGAAATTCTCCCTCCCTTCTCGTGTTATTTTTCAACTCATGAAGACACAACAGTATCTGTATGTTCGTAACAAAATTTTTGTTTTGTACTTCTATATAGGAGCAATTTTCATCCTGTAAGAATCATTTCATATTGGAAGAATGCATTCATCTAGTTAATAAAGATTTGAAAAATGCTCATTTTTGTATTGTTTAATCACCGTAAAGAGAGAGTCCATGTGTACTGAATAGGACACTATACCATAGAATGGGAGAGTAAACAAAAAACCCTAGTGCAGAGTATCAGATGCTATCATTATATATAGGAAAGAGCCCTGTACCAGCATGTGTGCTTGTATTTGTATGGTCTCTTTGGAAGGATACATAAAAGGCTGGTAGTATCCCAGCAAAAGATCTGAGTTCTAGGGAATTAGGGATGAGAAGGGAATTCATTTTGCACTGTTCTTATTGGTACTGTTTATATAGTTTATTTTACTACATTCATTCATATATAGTTAAATATATGTGTATATATGTATAAGTATGTATATTTTATATATATATATATATATTAGATATACAGGTACATTCTTTTTCTCCAGTGCTGGGGCTTGAACTCAGGGTCTTATAGCACATAGTAAGCAAGTGCTCTACCACTGAGCTATATCCTTGGCCTTTTAATATTCCTTTTCATTTTATTATTATTATTTACTTATTTATTTTGGTACTGGGGTTTTAACCTAGCAGTGCTTTGCCATTGAGTTACATCTTCAGCCTTTTTTTTTTTTTTTTTTGTTTTGAGAAGAGGGTCTCACCAACTTGCTGAGGTTGCCCTCAAACTTGCAATCCTCCTGTCTCAGCCTCCTGAGTCTTTGGGATTACAAATGTGTACCACTAGACCCAGCTTAGTATTACTTTTTAAGATGTTGCATTTCATTGTATTTTATGCTGCACTAGGTTAGCAAGTACCTTGAAATGAACAGAGCTTCACTTATACCTCGTGTTTTAGTTAGCTTTTTGTCATTCTGACCAAAATACCTGACAAGAACAATTTAGAGGAGAAAAAGTTTATTTTGGCCTATAGTTTCAGAGATTCAGTTCATGGTTAGCCAACTCTGTAGCTCTGGGCCTATGGGAATATTATGGCAGAAGGGTTGCTGGAGGAAGGCAACTCAGGACATGGCAATGAGGAAGCAGAGTATACCACTCACCAGGGACAAAATATAACCTCCAAAGGTATATCCAGTGACCTACTTCCTCCAGCCACACCCTACCTGCCTGCAGTCACCTTATATCAGAGAAAAACATTTGACATTTGTTTTTTGGGATTGGCTAATTTCACTTAGTATTATCTTCTCTAGGGCCATCCATTTACCTGCAAATGCTATGACTTTATTCTCTTTTATTGCTGAGTAATATTCCATTGTTATATGCCACGTTTTTTTGTCCATTCATCTACTGAAGTACATCTAGGTTGGTTCCACAGTTTTGCTATTGTGAATTGTGCTGCTATAAGCAGTGCACAAAACTCAACTCAAAGTGGATCAAAGACCTAAGAATTAAACCAGAGACTGTCTAAATAGAAGGAAAAGTAGACCCTAATCTTCATCATGTGGGATTAGGCCCCAACTTCCTTACTAAGACTTCCTACAGCGCAAGAATTAAAACCTAGAATCAATAAATGGGATGATGGATTCAAACTACAAAGTTTCTTCTCAACAAAAGAAACAATCTGTGAGGTGAATAGAGAGCCTTCATCTTGGGAGCAAATTTTTACCCCTTACACATTAGATAGAGCACTCATCTCTAAGGTATATAAAGAACTCAAAAAGTTAAACACCAAACAAACAAACAACAACAACAACAAAAAACACCAAATAACCCAATCAATAAATGGGCCAAGGACCTGAACAAACAATTCTCAGACGAGGATATACAATCAATCAACAAATATATGATAAAATGTTAATAATTTTAGAGAAATGCAAACCAAAACTACTCTAAGATATCATCTCATTCCAGTCAGAATGACAGGTATTATGAACAAACAACAATAAGTGTTGGCGAGGATGTGGGGAAAAAAGTACAACCATACATTGCTGGTGGGACTGCAAATTGGTGCAGCCAATATGGAAAGCAGTATGGAGATTCCTTGGAAAACTGGGAATGTAACTACCATTTGACCCAGCTATCCCTTTCCTCCTCGGTCTATACCCAAAAGTTATTTTTATTTTAATTGGGTGACTAAGGGACTTGTCCAAGTTTTAAGATCCATACTTTTCCGGCCCTTGGATCATTCTTAACATTTGTATTTCCCTGGCATGCCGCAGTGGACCATAACTAGTTTTGAGTACCACCTTGGCTTGTAGAGTATTTTTTAAATATATATATTTTTATAACTTTGTTTTATTTATTTACTTTTTTAAGTGTACAGCATTGTCTTATCTTTATTTTTTAATTTTTTTTAGAGAGAAAGAGAATTTTTTAATATTTATTTTTCAGTTTTCGGCGGACACAACATCTTTGTTTGTATGTGGTGCTGAGGATCGAACCCGGGCTGCACGCATGCCAGGCGAGCATGCTACCGCTTGAGCCACATCCCCAGCCCTATTTATTTACTTTTTATGTGGTGCTAAGGCTGGAATGCAGTGCTTTATCCATGCTAGGCAAGCTTTCTATCACTGAACTACAGCTCTAGCCCCTTATGGAGTATTTTTTAAGTGAAATAACTTACTTTCTGTTTTAATCCTGCAGAATCTTTTAAATAAAAGCAGCAGTCTTTACCATTCTCTTTGTAAGTGGGAGTTTACTGGTTTCTTATAATTTTTGAGTATGTATTCTTGTATATGGTGAATATTATTTATTTTTTGCTTATTTAGTAAGCCAAAAAAATTTAAACATGAGTCCATAGTATAGACTTGCAAGTCAAAACTCAGTGATGACGGCAATATTAGATTCCATTCCTAGTGTAAATATATTATTTAGGTAAATGTTTATAATGTAATATATTTGTTTTATTATTAAAGTCTTTTTTTTTCTTTTCCAGTTCTTTCATTCTCACATGGCATTCAGAACAGCTTCTATGCCCTCCCCATTATGTGAAGCTGAAGAGAGAGTGAGTCTTTTTTAAATATATTACATATTGTCCCTAAATACTTTTATGATTTAAAAATAACTACTTATAGAATTTGTAGACTCTTATGTAAAGGCTTGTTTGTATTTATGAATCAACTTTTCTCTTGATTCAAGTGAAATATCAGTGATAGATTGAATAATTAATTGATGAGTATGCATAATGTTCCTATTAAATTGTTTTCTATTTATTTTTTCACTTGTTATTTATTTTTTGGTTCTTTTGTTTCTGGTTTTAAGCAGATTAAAATTCCAGGTGCTTCAACAACAACATTCCATAAAAAGACTACCACGGTTAGATTCCAGCACATTCTGGGAGGGGAAGAAACAAATACTAGCATTGCTTTGGGTGAGCACTTTGCAGAGCATGGTAGGGGCAGACAACTTAGGATGACAGAATGTGGAGACCAACTGGGTGGCCTCGCCAGATGCTTTTCTGCTGCAAGATTAGACCTGATATTTCCAAGGTCCTTCTGAGTGTGCCTGTACAGTAGGAATGGTTTTAGTAATGCATATTAGAAATTATATTTAAAAAGAGGGGTAAATTTAACTTGATGAAAGAGCTGTGCTGTTAAAAACAGAAAATTGCAAGTAAAGCATGGTAATTCAATAAGGTGAAATAATTTCCTTTAGTTCTGGGCTCCCATAGCTAGAGTCCCTTCTTGTTTTCAAAATGGTTTCAGATGGCTGGGTTTTTATGCAGAGCTCCCCTTCAAGCTCTTTCAAGTTACTGGCAGAATGCAGTTCCTTGCTGACTGGCCTTCCATTTGCTCCTAGAGACCATTTTCTTTTCCTTGCCATATGGCCTCTTCTATTCTAAAAGCCAATCAGGCAGAACTTCTGGCAGGTCTTATCTTCTTTGGGTTTCAGATTTTTTTAGCCACATCTTCCCCCTCCCCCACCAGATCTTTTTAGCCAGGAATGCCCAGACCCTGTTAAGGGCTTGCCTTGTTAGGTCAGGGCATACCTATGATTGTCCTTTTTCTAGAGTTACCTGAGTTGGCACCTACATCACATACGCAAGTTTTCTCAACTGAACCTAGTTTAGTTTTATTAAATAACTGAGAGAAGATGTATGCATACCAGAGGCTATTTCATTATTCTGCCCACTGCACATGGTAAAAAGCAATTCTTTCTCACCTGACCTGTGTCTCCTCCCTAGTGGTTAGTCTGTTACTACCTTTTGAGACATTTTCTTGCTTATTCATATGTATTAAAAAGTTTATTTTCACACAAATCATAGTAAATAAATCACTGTTTGGATACTTAGTTTAAAAGAGTCATACATGTCCTGGCATGTATCAGTATATGCTTCAATTTGTATATCTATTTATACATTTGAGTTGTTTCTACTATTTGACTATTAGGAATAAAACTGCTATGAATGTGTGTCCTTGTTTGGATGTATGTTTTAACCTCCAGGTTGGATTTTTGTTTTTATCTAACATTTTTCCAAATTCACTGTACCATTTTGTATTTGCACCAGCACATTCTCAGCATTCCATTTGTTCTTCTATCTTCAACACTTGACATCATCAGTCTTTAAATTTTAGTTATTTTATGTGCATCCAATGATATCTTATGCCTTTTTTGGATTTATGAGTATTTTTATGATTGGTTCCATTTTTATCTCCACTCTTTTTTCTTTTTTAAAATGTTGATCTAAGCTTTACTTTATCACATTTTACCTTCAGATAATACCATAGTATATATAATATAATTTTTCTTTTTTATTATATAGTATGTATCATGGAGGTGCTAGAATCTTCTTCCAGCTTTGTTCTAACAGGCTGATAAATTGCTGTCTTATCACATTGATCTCTTTGAGACTTGGTTATAGGCTTGGTTAGGGCCAGTCTATTTCAGTCATGGCTTCATACTAGGGAACTTTTCTAATTTTAGGAAAATAGTCCTTAATCCTAAAATGTGGAATATCTAAGATTGAGGTGTTTCTCAGGCCTCTTTAACGTACAGACTTAAAATTTAAGAACCTCCTTTCTCTCCAGGATGGTACTCTTTAAAAATGCTCAGCTCCTAGTGCTGCATGACAGAGTCTCAGTATTCCTTCTGTCCTTGTGCAGTTTGGCAGTCAACCATGTATTTGAGGGGAGTGTGTTTGCATATTTTGGGCTTCTTCCATTCTGGAATTCCCCCACCCCCCTCAATTTCTAGCCAGTGTTCCTGCCCCAATTTTCAAATGACTTCTTAACCCAGTAAGACTATTTCAGTTCTTCCTGAGCTCCATCTTTGTACCCTCAAGGAAGAGTACAAGTGGTTAGGGGTGTCCTGAAGGATTTGCTATGTGAATGTGTATTTCACAGAGTAGATTCCCTTCCCTCTAGAGTTTTCATTCTTTCCATTCTTTCCCTGTGACTTGAAAGAGTTGCTTATAATTGTTATCAGCGGGGAGGTAAGTTTGACGTGAGTTATACTGTCACTACTGGAGCTGAAACTATAATTTTGTATTGTACTTTTTTTTCACTTCATGTCTTAATGAAGGATTTTTCCAAGTCATTAAAAATTTATTGTAAACATTCAATGACTTTAAATTCTCCATCTTGTGAGTGAATATGACATAATTTATTTGAATGTTTTTAGAAATGAAATGTTTTACTGTTAAAATTTGTGCTGGACTTTTATATTGAAGGGAATAAGAAATTTGTGTTTTGAGGATCTGGACACTGATTTTTTTTTCCCTCACAATGTACTTGATCATTGTCTTAGGTGAATAGTAATAATTGTAAAATTTTTACTTCCTTTGATAAATTCATCCTTTCAAGTGTGACTTTTTCCTGTTCAGTCAAGGTCATTTTAACTGTGGCTGTTGTTTTTATTTTCTTCAGAAAAGAGAAAATATCCGATCCTTGACTATGTGTGGCCATGTTGGTTTTGAGAGTTTGCCTGATCAGCTAGTCAATAGATCCATTCAGCAAGGCTTCTGTTTTAATATTCTCTGTGTTGGTGAGTGCCACTAACTCTTCCTCTGAATTCTTCCTCATGTTCCTTGTGCTCATTCCGTTGTTAGTATAAGCAGTATGATGCTCATGTTATCAGTTTGAGATCATAAACCCAGGGATTTTCTTACTTATTTAAATTATTTCAGTTTTGTTTTTCTTAGCTTTAAACCTTTTGTTGTTCCATAAACATGTTAGTGCTCTTTTCGGAATTCTGAGTAACTTAGTATACACATTAGTTTCTCTGCTGATGACTTGGAACCAGTATTATATATTTCTTTCATGGACAACCCTATCTTTAAAATATTTGCAATCCTTGAAACTACTCTGGGACTTCGCAGCTGTTTCTTCTCACCCATTCTATGTGCCTATGAAGATGTACATTTCTTTCTTTCAGGGGAAACTGGCATTGGAAAATCCACACTGATTAACACATTGTTTAATACTAATTTTGAAGAACATGAAGCCTCACATTTTTGCCCAAATGTTAGACTTAAAGCTCAGACATATGAACTCCAGGAAAGTAATGTTCGGTTGAAACTGACCATTGTGAATACAGTGGGATTTGGAGACCAAATAAATAAAGAAGAGAGGTATGTGTTTTCTTTATGTATTAAGACAACTTTTCTTATTTCAGGATCAAGACATTTGCCTTTTGCCTTGTGAGCTTTGGTTTGATTTTCCTCTATGACAATCCATACCTTTCCTCCCATACATTATTATTATTATTTTTTTTAGCAATTAAGCAATGTTTTGTTCTTATTAACAAATTGACATTTTTTCTGCCAACTTGTCTATTTTATTTAGAGTAATTTGAATCAAATTACTAAAATGTATATTTCAGCAAAAATAGTTTTAATTATTTCCTGATATTTGGTGTATATTCAGTGATTGGTATTAGTTTTCAGACCAAGGATGATTATTGTTGAAAATAAAATATATACAAGGGCAAATATATACAATGGACAAATACATGGTTCATCAGTTATTTTTGCAATATGCCAACTAAAATAGTTATACTAGTAAGCATTGTAGGAAAGTTTTAATAGTGAAATTTTAATTTATATTTTACTTAGTATATATTTTCTTATAGTATTATGAAGATTAACGATGGATTCCATATCAACTTTGAGCTATGAAATAAAGGGGTAAATAGATTGGGTGAAATTAATTACTTTTTGTTGTTTTTTGAAATGTATATATTTTCCTTATTATAGGCAATTTTTTAGAGGGAAAATATTTATATTTTGTACAAATTGACCTGATATGTATTTGCATATAGCCTTTTCGACACTGCATTGTGTTTTAAATATGAAGAAATTATGTGGATTAGTGGCAAGTATAAAGGCCTTTGATACCTTGTTTTAAATGTTATTAATATTTGTAAGATGGATAGCAACTTAGAACTAATGAAAGTATTTTTAATTCAACTTAAACATAGTGTCATTATAATTGGCCTGCTAACTAAATTTCTTTATAGGATGAAATAAATTCACAATAGATTTAGCTTTCTATGTAAATTTATCCTTGAATTTTAATTTGCCTTTCTTCATTAATTTATTTGTTGGATTATTTTTTGGCAATTATCAAAATAATATGTAGATACGTTTTTACTACATATCAGTTGGAACCCGCTTTGGTCATCTCCTCAGGCCCTGTCCCATTTCTCTCCCCAGAAAAACTACTGCTGTGAATTAGGTGTTTTCCCAGATATTTTTCAGTTTTTTAAGTTTCTTTTATTTTAACAAAGATTTATTGTGCATAATTTAAGTTGAATAGATTTCATTGCTATCAAATATACAATTAAAAATTAGTTTTGACAAAACTTGTAGTTTTGTAACCACCATCATTTCTTTAATATAGGAAATGGTTTTGGGCTTGGCATTTGCCTATCAGTCTTAGCCACAGACTTTAGGAGTATGCTCTTCAGATCCACAGAGCTTTTTGTCTGCAGCTCTTCTCCGTCTAGTGTTCTGCCCCACAGATTTCAGTCATTTTGGTCTCCCTAAACTTCTATGTTAGTCTTTGCATCTTTGTGAATATATCAGGCTACTTGCTGTCTTTCAGTGTTCTGCCTAGTAAACCTGTTTCCATGCTGGAAGCTGAAAAAATCTTAGTGCTCCCCTCATTTATTCCTTTTTCAATGATCATAGTTTTATTCTGTCTGTTGTCCAACATCCACAACCCCTTTTCTCATATATGTTTTCTTAGTTTTTAGGTGGAAAGGTAAATTCAGTCCCAGTTATTCCCATAATGAGTAGAGACAGTTTGTTTTTCTTTTCTTTTCTTTATTTATTTTTTTAATTCTGGTCTGTACTAGGGAGGATTTGTGTATTTTGTTGAACAGTAAGGAGTGATTGAGGGCATCTTCACCTTATCCTCATCCTAGAGGTAAAGTTGTACTTTTTACATGTGTTAGGGTTTTTTTTTGTTTTCTCTTTTTCTCTTGGTTTTGGTTTGTTGACTTTGAGTTTTGTTTTAGATAGAATAAGAAAGTTTATTTTAGTAGTACATTTTTTAAAAATGTGAATAGACAATGTTGGTGTTTGGTTTTGTTTGTTTGTTTTTCGATGTTGGGGAATTGAACTCAGGGGCTCTTTATCTCTGAGCTATGTACCCAGCCCTTTTTAAATTAAACTTATAATCTTGGATGCCTCTTTGGGATCACCTTTTCATATTGTGCTCTATTCCGTATTTTTCTTTTAGTGTTTTTGCAATTGTTCATTTATTTATTTATTTGCTATGCTAGGAATTCAACCCAGAGCCTTATACATACTAGGAAAGTATTCTACCACTGAGCTATATCACGCCTTACTATTCAACAAAATACACAAATCCTCCCTAGTATAGTCCAGCATAAATAAATAAATAAATAGATATTGTTAGCTTTCTGAAATGAGACTGAAGAATTTTAATTCTTTTTCTATTTTTATGGATTAGAGTTAGTTTTCCCAGAGATGTTTGCTAAAACCAACCAATAAAGCTAATTTTGAGTTACTTAACTTTACTTAGTGTTTATAGGACTATTCTAGAGTTGATCTTTTTTATTTTTTAAAAACTTTTTGGTGTTATACTTTTCCAGGAATCTGTTTTGTGTAAATTTTCAAATTATTAGCCTAAAAATATTGGTAATACACTCCTACTATCTTTGTTTTTTTTTTTTTTTTTTAAAGAGAGAGTGAGAGAGAGAGGAGGACAGAGAGAGAGAGAGAATTTTAACATTTATTTATTTTTTCTTAGTTCTCGGCGGACACAACATCTTCATTTTTGTATGTGGTGCTGAGGATCCAACCCAGGCCGCACGCACGCTAGGCGAGTGCGCTACCGCTTGAGCCACATCCCCAGCCCTCCTACTATCTTTGTATTGTCTATATCATCTATAATGATACCTATTTTACTTTTCATATATTGGTTATTTGTACTAGTTTTCATTTTCTTTTTTTAAAATTTTTTTTAGCTATAGATGGACACAATATCTTTATTTTATTTATTTTTATGTGGTGCTGAAGATCAAACTCAGTGCCTCATGCATGCAAGGCAAGCACTCTACTACTGAGCCACAACCCCAGCTTCTTGTTTTCTTTTTCTGTTTGATGAGTCTCAACAGAGCATTGCCAGTTTATTTGGTCTCTTCAAACACCAAGTTTTGACTTTCTTGTTCTCAATTTTATCCTTTTTGTTTTTCCTATTTCACTATTTCCATTTCTTATATTCTGTTTACTTAGCAAAAAATAATTTACGGATTTCATTTTCAAAAATCATAAGTAAGGCATTTGATAGAGGAACATTCACATGTAGGTCACACAATAGGTCATGTTTTAAGTCATGAATAAAAGCTTCTTTGGAATTTTTATATCAAATATGTAATTGAAACAAATTTTACTATTATTTTGGGAAGGGAATCCTGTTAGGTTACATTTAAACCAGTTTCCTAGAATTACTTACTGATGTTCATAATAATCACTCTGATAATGAAGTAAATTCTTTATTATTCTAGTTCTTATAGCAAACAGAATTATATGATCTTTGTCTTCACATTGTTTACCGTCTGGACAGGGAGAAAAGGTATTCTGTGGGTTTAAAAGAGGTGATGATCCTCAAGAACTAGAATTGTCAGGCAACTTTATAGAAGAATTCAGTTCTATCCACATTTATCGAGTTCTTTAGCTGCACAAGGTACTGCTCTTTTTGGTCTACAAAAGTGATTGCAAAGATGACCAGGGAATTTGAGGTAGGAATTATTTGCTATTTATTTTCACTTGGATTTGTTTAAGGAGGATAGTTAAGGGTAGAAAGGTAAGTTGAATAGGCAGTGATTTAACATATCATAATGAAGTAGGACATTCACAAACTACTCTTGAATTTCTGTTAGCACGCTGGCCTGCATGTGCCTTGTGATTTGATTTACATCCTAAAGGATGAATAGACTGAGACAACCAGAGGGAAGACAACATTCTAAGGGGGAGTTATCTGAGTAAGAACTTGGAGTGGAGAACATGATTGGTCATTTCTTTGTTCATAATTAGCGAAAAATAAAACCATGCCAATCAGTATTCCTAGATACTTTCAGCTGATGTTTGCTTTTCCTCTTTACTATGTTCATGCCTTTACAAATCTGATTTAGAGAAAGTCCTGGACTTTGATTTAAATATATTTTTAGTTGATACCTCGAGCTTTTTTTCAGTTAGTTAAATAATATGTCATGGTTACAAACTAGACTCTTGGCTTTCTTGAGCAGTCTGGTAAGTATGGGAACCTTTATTATAATGGGACACAATGTGAACGGATATGGAAATGAATCATTGTAATTCATTACTGTATCAAGCACAGTTTGTTCTGACGGCTTGTGAATATTACCTTTGTGTATATGTTATTCACATTGTTTTTTTTTTTTCCAGTAAAGTTATGTATTTAGCTTAGCGCATAAACTCTTTATTAATTGGTAAACTACAGACCTCAGACTTGAGAGTTTTACAAGTGTCTTATCAAGGTAGCATGGATATGTTGTATTAAATATGTAAATAATCATATTTTCAGCTACTTACCAATAGTTGACTACATAAATGCTCAGTTTGAAGCCTATCTCCAAGAAGAACTGAAGATCAAGCGCTCTCTTTTCAACTACCATGATTCTCGCATCCACGTGTGCCTCTACTTCATCGCTCCAACAGGCCACTCGCTGAAGACACTTGACCTCTTAACCATGAAGAATCTGGACAGCAAGGTGGGTTAGGAAAGTAATCAATAAATTAGACTTTAAATGTGTGTGGACTGCTTAAATATATTTATGGATAGATAGTGTATGAATTGTGACTTTTATCTGTGCATCTGACATTTCTCTCAGCTTATTTTCTGGAGGAATTCAGTTTGGAAGATGAGATGCAAATATAAAACATTAGAATAAAAGTTCAGTGTCATTATTTTTAATATAGAAATTATGTAACACTAATTTTAGGTTACAACACTATTAAGCAAGAGGAAGAACTTCATTGACAAAGATTAAAGTACAATGTTTTATCACATATTTAGTGAAATATATTTTAATTTGAGCCATACCAAGGTAAGTTGGTATGAGCCAATATAAATTTAGGGAGCTTTAAAAAGACTGTAAATCAACTCAAGTTTAACTTTTATTTAAAGCTAAATATATTGCTTAAATATATTGCTTTATAAGTTAAAACTACTTACTGTCTTATACCAAAAGAAAATTCAATCCCAAGTAGTGAGAAAGGCAGCTTTCAGAATCCTGGATACTAATTTTATAAGGTATGGTTTAAAAATATAAGGGCATTCTGGTTGTTCTGCTTTCCTCTGTATAGTAATACAATAATTGATGTGGAAAGCATGAAGACTACTAGTGAAACCTGTGTGCATAGGTTGATTTACTTTTGGCTTAGTCCCTAGGCTTTAGCAAAAACTTGATGAAGGTTAATAGACTTATCATGTGAAGAGATGTGATAGACTTAATCATTTAACCAGTTATCTTCATAGTGGAGCCTGCTTATGTAGGAATTCATATTTGTGAAAGGAACATAAAACCAAGAGCATGGGACTGGGGTTGTGGCTTAGCGGTAGAGCACTCATCTAGCACATGTAAGGCCCTGGATTTGATCCTTAGCACCACATAAAAAAATAAATAAAACAAAAATAAAAGGTTAAAAAAAAAAAAAAACAAGAGCATGCAACATAAGCTGGAGAGAAGAAACGTGACAGTATAAAGTGTGAATAAAGACTAGTACAGTGGCATATGCCTGTAATTTTAGCAACTTGGGAGACTGAGGCAGGAGATCAGGAGTTCAAAGCCAGCCTCAGTAGATTAGGGAGGCACTTTGCAACTCTGCAAAACCTTGTTTCTAAATAAAATACAAAAAAGGGCTGGGGGTGTAGCACAGTGGTTAAGCACCCCTGGGTTCAGTCCACACACCCCCATCTTCCTGTCCAAAGACAGTAGTATAATTTGGTGCCTATGGAGTCTGGTTTTAAATGTTGGATCTGTCGCCTATTACTTATTTGATCTTGGGCAAGTGCTTTTAGCTTTCTGAGTCTCAGTTTTCGTACTTATGTACAAACCAGCAAGAAGCCCTACCTTAAGGCCCAGGTATGAAAATTAACTAAATTAATCCATGTAAATAGAGGGTTTAACAAATAGACAATCTTAGTAAGACAGCTATCATTACTTTGTGAGAATTAAATGAGATAATGTATTACAAAGTCCCTGTTATATTGTGCACATGAAATACAAAATGTATAGGCATGCAAATATGTTGGTTCACATTTCTCATTGGTCAGAATATAGACTATATTTCATAATTTTTTTTTAGTATAGTGTATAAATATATATTATATAATCTCCAGCTTTGATGATTTAAAGATGCTCTTTACTTTTTATGATAAACCTTAAACTACCTTATAAAAAACAAGCACCTGCTTCTGTTATTTGTATAAGAATGCTGTTTCAGAGTTAGCTGAGGTCTACAGGCTTAATACACTAGTATAAAATAGATAATAGGAGTCAGGTATGGTAGTGCACACCTGTGATCCCAGCTGCTTCAGAAGCTTAGGAGGGCGATCCCTCCATACCAAGATTTTGAGGCTGACCTCCTCAGCAGAGTGAGACCCATCTCATAAAAAAGATAGGACTGTAGCTTAGCATACAAGGCCCTTGGTTCAATCCCTTGCAATACAAAAAAACAAAAACAAACAAACAAACAAAAAAAAACAAAAACAAAACAAACAAAAAAAACAAGAAGTTAAATATATATAAAATATAAAGTAATATAAAATAGGCCACTCACTGGTTCAACTTTAGTCCAATCACATACCAGCTGTTGCCTCTTGGGGCAAACTAACTAAGCTTTAGCTTTTACATTTGTACATGCTCATGCTTGTTATAAAGATTATCTGATATCCTTCAGCAGATGAATGGATAAAGAAAATGTGGTATATACACACAATGGAATATTACTAAGCCATAAAGAAGGGTGAAATTGTGGCATTTATTGGTAAATGAATGGAACTGGAGAATATGCTAAATGAAGCCAATCCCAAAAAACCAAAAGCTGAATATTTTTTTTTATGATATGCAGATGCAAACACAATAAGGTGGGAGGGGAGGGAAGAATAGAATTTCACTAGATTAGACAAAGGGGAATGAAGAGGGAAGGAAGGGAGAATGGGAATAGGAAAGACAGTAGAATAAATTATAAATTTCCTGTGTTCATGTATGAATGTACGACCAGTATAACTCCATATCATATACAACCCCAAGAATGGGAAGTTACACTCCATGTATGTATAATATGTCAAAATACATTCTACTGTCATGTATAATTAAAAAGAGCAAATAAAAAATTCAAGAAAAGAAAACAAAACAAAACCCAAAAATAAATGTATCAAACAATGGAAGATGTTATTAATAGGAAAACTGTGTGAGGGAAGGAGGTATATGGGAACACTCTGTACTTTCTGGTCAGTTGTTTTGTATACATGCTGCAAAGAACAGTCTTGAAATTAGAATGCAAACAAAAAAAATTACTCGAGATAACTTTAAACATTTATCACAGTGCCTGGCACATAGGAAACACCTATGTTGCTTATTATTCTTTTACTTGAAAATACTTTTAATTAGCAGGCACAATCTTGTTCAGAATATTCATATTTTGGTATTAGAGGTCCTTACTAACCTGATGTCCACCTTTAGCCTTCAAGTCTTAGAGAAGAGTTAGCAGGGAGTAATCTATATTAATATGATCCCTTAGTGGATTTTCAGAAATAAACAGGAAAGATAATGATCACTTACTTGTTCAGCAGTCCAGTCTGCAAACTCTTAGAAAACTAGCTCTAGATGCATATTATGTACTGCCAAAGACTTTGGAAAGCATCACAATCTTGTTTTGTTATTTGCAGTGCTAGGGATCGAACTCAGGGCCTCAAGCATTTTAGGCAAGCATTCTGCCGCTAAGCTACATCCTTGTCCCAGTGTTATCTTTTTAATAACACTGTATTTCACTCAAACAAAATGAAACATTTTATGGTAATATAAAAGAAAATCTGCATCATGCACTCATTGAAGATTGTCATTACCCTGTTGAAGATTGTTGCTGCTCTCTTCTGCTTTATTCAGTTGATGGGAGAAAAATGCTAAACTTGGGACTTCTTTATCAAAATCCTGCCTTTAGTTTTCTATTGTATAAACCAGACAGGAATGTTATAACTAAATTTTTGTACATGTTTAAAGAGAAAACTTGAGGCATGCTTTAATTATGTCATTTGGTACTTAACATATATGGATATGTAATATTTTTATAGTAGCAACTATTACCCACAAGACACCTGGCAGGCCTAGAGCCTAATTTACACAAGAGTACTAGATAAAAATGAGCAATGATCTTAGTTCCTCAGGCCTCCAGCCTTTCTTTCTTTTTTTTTTTCCTTTCTTTTTTTTTTTTTTTAAAGAGAGAGAGAGAGAGAATTTTTTAATATTTATTTTTTAGTTTTTGGCGGACACAACATCTTTGTTTGTATGTGGTGCTGAGGATTGAACCCAGGCCGCACGCATGCCAGGCGAGCGCGCTACCACTTGAGCCACATCCCCAGCCCCCTCCAGCCTTTCTTAAGATAATTCTTTATTGTTCCTATAAGCCAAACACTTGACTACTTTTTAAGAAAGTTACTTTTATCTTTTGTAGAGGGTGAAAAGTGTCCATCTTTGGCAGTATGTATTTTTTTCTCTCCCTTTGATAGGCATGTAAATGTTAATGTTTAGCATTCAGTTCACTTCTGCATTTTATTGTAGAAGTAATCAGAAGTTATTGACCTGGCATAATTTATTGAATATGTAAGTATAGAATACTGAAACCAAGAACTTGTTATCCAATCTCCCCCACCCCCTTGGTGCTGGGGATGGAACCCAGAGATGCTTTGCTACTCATCCACATACTCAGCTTTTTTTAGTTGGATTCAGGGTCTTATTAAATTACTTAGGTCTTTACTGAGGCTGACCTGGAACCTGCTCAGACCTTCCTCAGACCTCCTGAAAAGTTGCTGGGATTACAGGTGGTGCCATGGTGCCCAGCAGTATTCAATTTTTTAGGTAGTTTATCATGAAACCTGTTTACTCACAATTGTAAAGTTTTCTACCATTGATTTGAGTTTAGCAGGAAGAACAACTATCTCCTTGGATCATATAGAAGACTGAAATATCCAAGTATATATACTGAATCATTGTAAAATTGGAGAAGATAAAAGTTTAAGAATGTGGGCTGGGGCTGTAGCTCAGTGATTTTATTTTTACTTTTATTATTTGAAATTAACATTGCCATCTCACTCTTAAAGGACTAGATTTATTTATGTGTTAGTTGATCTTCAGGATCCCACATCTCTTTCTCCCTGGCAGTGATAGAACTTTGAATAATGCTAATGAAGTCATTTCTTTGTGTCCTGAAGACTTGTAGCTGGTGTTGGTGCAGTTTCCTTTCTGTGCCATATAGGTAGAAGTCTTTGATGACTGGGACACTGATAGGGAGAAAATCAGGGCTATATTGGGAGGCAGAAAGAGAAACGTCACTTGTTTTTTCATTTTGCGGAGGGACCAGTCACTAATTAGTTAGTGCTTAGATTATTAAGATATAAAAGTTGTTAGTGAATTAAGCAGGCATTTTCAGTTTACTCTTTATTATATTTTACATATTTTGTGTGTGATGGATTGTAAGACTTCAAGGGAGAGAGAAGAAAATGAGATTTCTAAACCTAATGAAAGATTAATCAGTCTCTCTCTCTCTCTCTTTTTGGTACCGGGATTGAACTCAGAGACATTGAACCACTGGAGCCATATCCTATTTTGTATTTTCTGTAGAGACAGGATCTCACTGAGTTGCTTAGCGCCTCATGATTTCTGAGGCTGGCTTTGAACTCTTGTTCCTCTTGTCTCAGCCTCCCGAGCTGCTATAATTACACACATGTGCCACCATGCCTGGCCTGAAAGGTTAATCTCAACAAGAGCTCTGCTTTCTTTGTATTATTATTGTTATTGTTGTTAGTGTGTGTTTATGGTGTTGGGGCCTTGCATATACTACACATACTAGGTAAGTGCTTTACCACTGAGCTATACCCCCAACTCATTGGGTCTGCGTTTTAAAAGCAGTTACTATGAGGCCAGTATCTATAGGGATGACTATGTAAGGGATATGTGTGGTTTTGAGAGACACAGAGAGAAAAGTGTGTGTGTGTGTGTGTGTGTCAAGTGAAAGCCAATGATTATCTGAGTCAGAGGTCTACTTATTTTTTCTGTAGAGGGCCAGATAATAAATTAGGCTTCCAGGCCACATGGTTTCTGTGGCATCTACTAGTCTCAGCTGTTGTAATAAGAAAGTAGCCCGTGAATGAGCATGGTGATGTTCCAATAAGTCTATTTATATAAGCTGGAACATAGTTTATCAATCTGGTCCGGGGTAAGGAATTTTATTTACAGAGACTGAATGGTTTTTGTGTGAACAAATAATTACAAAGTTAAAAATGAATCCTCAATTACATGATTTTGTATTTCTTTTTACCTAATAGGTGAACATTATTCCAGTGATTGCCAAAGCAGATACAATTTCTAAATCCGAATTACAGAAATTTAAGATCAAGCTCATGAGTGAATTGGTCTGCAATGGTGTCCAGATATACCAGTTCCCAACAGATGATGATACTATTGCAAAAATCAATGCTGCAATGAATGTAAGCTCCTAAAGGAATGTCAAGGCTGTCTTACATGTGAAACTAACTTGTGATTCATGTCACTGCTACAGTAGTCTCCCTTATCTGAAGTTTTAGTTACCCATGGTCAACGGTAGTCTGAAAATATTAACTAACAAATTCTAGAAATAAATAGAAATTATTTATTCTAATTCATTGTGTTCTAATTAAGTTCTAATTCATTGTGTACCATTCTGAATGATGAAATCTCATCACAGGCATTGTGTCAACTTACATTATAAAAGGAAGGATGAGCATAGCATAATGTATTTTAAGAGAGAGTGTCCTTATTCATGTAATTTTTATTAGCAATATATTGTTAAAGTCTTCTTATCTTATTATTAGTTATTGTTAATTTCTCTATGTGCCTAATTTATAAATAAATCTATCATACATATTTTATGTGTGGGGAAAAAATAGTAAATATAGGGTTTGGTACTATCTGCAGTTTCAGTTATCCACTGGGGATCTTGAAATGTATTCTGTCTGGATAAGTGGGGATCATTGTGGTGTATTTTACCTTGTGTTTTCCAAAAATACTTCAAACAAAGTGAAATTTTTAAAAAGCACAAGAAGAAATAAGCATTTTTAAAACTGTTAAAAGATAATGAGAATATATTTCTAAGCATTTTTTTCCTTCCTCCCTGCTTTCGTCTGAATAAAGCTATGCAATTGTGAGCTCTATTTAATTTGTGGAGCTCTATTTAATTTGTCTAAGAAAGATTGCCTTTCTGGCCTATTTTAAACAAATGTGAGCATACTCTACAACCTCCCTTGGAATGTTTTAGAGTCTAAGCCTTCAGGAAGATCTCTTCCAGCTGGTATTCATGTACACCCTCCTTTATAGTACCCATGCATACATCCGAAACATTGACTAATCAAGGATGACTAAATTCTTTTTACTTTCTTTAAACTATCACATTTCTTAAATATCTGGTGTTATTTTAAAGGATTGTGGGATTGAGACTAAGACAAATTTAATCATATGCTGTATAAGAGTTATGGACCTCCCCAAGACTGTTAACTAATCTATAAAATTAGGTTAATAGTACCTATTTTAAGAGTTGTCATAGGATTAAATGATACACTCCTAGTTAAGTACCTAACAGTGATAATCTTTAACTGGTTTTTTGTTTTGTTTTATTTTTTTAGAAAATGAAAGTAAGAATTTATTATACAAAGTAAAAATAATAGTTTGATTTAGAGCAGGAGTCACCTATCACACAAAAACACTTTATGACACATGGGATTCTTGAGACATGCAACTCCATTCTGGCCCTTAGGGGTCATTCACATATTGTTTGTGTTTCATTAGTTCATTAAAACAACAAATGTTTCTTGTTCCAGGTACTTCTTTTTTTAATTTGTTTTAATTAGTTACACATGACAGTACAATGATCTCAACACATCATACATTTGAATCAGATGGGGTCTAATTTCTCATTTTTCTGAGTGTACAGGTTGCAGAATCACATTGGTCATGCAGTCACATATATACCCACAGCAGTAATAATGTCTGTTTTATTCTGCTGTCCTTCCATTCCCCTCTTCTCTTCCCCTCCCCTCCCATCACTTCTCTCTACACTATCTAATGTGACACCCTTCTTTGTTTTTCCCCCTCACATCGTCATAAATGTATTCTGTATAACAATGAGGATTTCCTTCCATCTTCCGTGCAATTCCTCTTCTCCTCCCTTTTCTTCCCACTTCTCTTCCCTATTTAGTGGTAATCTTCTTCTCATGCTCTTCCTCCCTACCCCATTTTGAGTCACCCCCCTTATATCAGAGAAGACATTCGGCCTTTGTTTTTTAGGGATTGGCTAACTTCACTTAGCATAATCTGCTCTAATGTCATCCATTTCCCTGCAAATGCCAACATCTTGTTATTTTTTAGTGCTGAGTAATATTCCATTGTGTTTATATGCCACATTTTTTTATCCATTCATCCATTGAAGGGCATCTAGGTTGGTTCCACAGTCTAGCTATTGTGAATTGTGCTGCTATAAACATTGATGTGACTGTGTCTCTGTAGTATGCTGTTTTTAGGTCTTTTGGATATAGTCCAAGAAGGGGTCAAATGGTGGTTCCATTCTCAGCTTTCCAAGGCATCTCCATACTGCTTTCCAAATTGACTGCACCAAATTGTAGCATTGTATGAGTGTACCTTTTTCCCCCGGCATCCTGCCAGCACTTGTTGTTTGACTTCATGATGGCTGCCATTTTTACTGGAGTGAGATGGTATCTTAGAGTAGTTTTAATTTGCATTTCTCTGATTGCTAGAGATGGTGAGCATTTTTTCATGTACTTGTTGATTGATTGTATATCTTCTTCGGAGAAGAATCTGTACAGGTCCTTGGCCCATTTGTTGATTGGGTTATTTGTTTTTTTGTTGTTTAACTTTTTGAGTTCTTTGTATACTCTAGAGATTAGAGCTCTATCTGATGTGTGAGGGGTAAAAATTTGTTCCCAGGATATAGGCTCCCTATTTACCTCATATTATTTCTCTTGCTGAAAAAAAACTTTTTAGTTTGAATTCATCCCATTTGTTGATTGTTGGTTTTAACTCTTGTGTTATAGGTGTCTTATTAAGTTATTTGGGGCCTGATCCCACGTGATGGAGATTAGGGCCAACTTTTTCTTCTATTAGACGCAGAATCTCTGGTTTGATTCCTAGATCCTTGATCCATTTTGAGTTAACTTTTGTGCATGGTGAGAGATAGGGATTCAATTTCATTTTGTTGCATATGGATTTCCAGTTCTCCCAGCACCATTTGTTGAAAATGCTATCCTTTCTCTATTGCATGCTTTTAGCATCTTTGTCTAATATAAGGTAGCTGTAATTTTGTGGGTTGGAACTTACCTCAACATTGTAAAAGTAATTTCTCTGTTTTAGTGCCAGTACGTGCTGTTTTTGTTACTGTTGCTCTGTAGTATAGTTTAAGATCTGGTATAGTGATACCACCTGTTTCACTCTTCCTGCTTAGGATTGCTTTAGCTATTCTGGGTCTCTTATTTTTCCAGATGAATTTCATGATTGCTTTTTCTATTTCTGTGAGGAATGCCATTGGGATTTTGATCAGAATCGCATTGAATCTGTAAAGTGCTTTTGCTAATATGGCCATTTTAATAATATTAATTCTGCCTATCCATGAGCAAGGTATATCTTTCCATCTTCTAAGGTCTTCTTCTATTTCTCTCATTGTATAGATCTTTCACCTCTTTTGTTAAGATGATTCCCAAGTATTTTTTTTTTTTTGAGGATATTGTGAATGAGGTAGTTTTCCTCATTTCCGTTTCAGAGGATTTGTCACTGATATACAGGAATGCCTTTGATTTATGGGTGTTGGTTGTATATCCTGCCACTTTGCTGAATTCATTTACTAGTTCTAGAAGTTTCTTGGTAGAACCTTTTAGGTCTGCTAGTATAGGATCATGTCATCAGCAAATAGTGCTAGTTTAAGTTCTTCTTTTCCTAAAATTATACCTTTAATTTCTTTCGTCTAATTGCTCTGGCTAGTGCTTCCGGAACTATGTTGAATATAAGTAGTGAAAGAGGGCATCCCTGTCTTGTTACAGGTTTTAGAGGGAATGCCTTCAGTTTTTCTCCATTCAGAATGATGCTAGCCTGAGACTTAGCATAGATAGCTTTTACAATATTGAGGTAAGTTTCTGTTATCCCTAATTTTTCTAGTGTTTTGAACTTAAAGGGATGCTGTATTTTGTCGAATGCTTTTTCTGCATCTATCGAGATGATCATATGGTTCTTATCTTTAAGTGTATTGATGTGGTGAATAACATTTATTGATTTCTGTATATTGAACCAGCCTTGCATCTCGGGGATGAATCCCACTTGATCATGGTGCATGATCTTTTTGATATGTTTTTGTATCCGATTTGCCAGAATTTTATTGAGGATTTTTGCATCTATATTCATTAGAGATATTGGTCTGAAATTTTCTTTCTTTAAAGTGTCTTTGTCTGGTTTTGGAATTGGGGTGATGTTGGCCTCGTAGAATGAATTTGGAAGTATTTCCTCTTTTTCTATTTCCTGAAATAGATTGAAGAGTATTGGTATTAGTTCTTCTTTAAAGGTTTTGTAAAACTCTGCTGTATATCCGTCCGGTCCTGGGCTTTTGATAATCTTTTACCTTTTATTTTCTGACTTGTTTATTTATTTATTTATTTGGTGGTGCTGGGGATTGAACTCAGGGCCTTGGGCATGCAAGGCAAGCACTCTTACCAACTGAGCTATGTCCCCAGCCCTCTGACTTTTTTATATACTATTTTTATTAAGAAATCTAAATTAATTCTATAAAAAGCTAATATAAATAATATTTATTTATCAGAAAAATATATATTTACAACTTATATTTATAATTTATGTATTAAATATAGATTATATTTAATTTTACTTCTTATGCTAGTCTAGAATAATTTTTCAGAAAGGAACAATTAAGAAACTAAATAATATCAGTTCCTTAATATTAAACTAAATAATACTCAATACTTATTGCATTAGAGTTTTCCTCTATATTAATCCTCAACTTCAGATAAACTTGTTTACTTTCAGCCCCTGAATTAAGTTTTTTGTTCACAATCTCTTTTCTTCTGTTAGTTGTTGCCACTCTGCTTGATCTGTCTAAATCCCATCTTTCCAAATATAGCTTGGTTTATATCTTCCTGCTCCCAGTAATCTCTGGCTTCTCTCAATTTCTGTAGCATTTACTATATTAGCATAATTTGGAACTTTATATATTAGTTTGTATTAGTGCCATATATTCTGAATCTACCCTAAATATAGATACATAGTTTTATTATCTATATAGTGATATATGTATAATTTCTTCAACACTGTATTTTAGGACTCTCTTAGGGCTAAGGTAATACTGATTAAAAAAAAAAAAAAAGCACACTAAAAATTCTTTTTTTTTTTTTTTCTTCCTGTATTCCCAACAGCATAATGCCTTGTATTGGGAGATGCTCAGGAAAGAATTTTCTTCCTAGGGCCCCAAATTGTTTTATATAGTATAGTCAGTACATATTCAAAGCCAAGTTTTAAATCTGAGGCATAGCTGGTCATTAGATTTTTATAGATTTGTTGCTTAATAAGTTATTCTCTATTTTTATAATTTTTATAGCTTATCAGTTGTCATGTTGGTATGAGAAGAGATTGATGTTATGGTTCTTTTACAGGAGCATTTACCATTTGCTGTTGTAGGAAGTATGGATGAGGTAAAAGTTGGAAATAAGATGGTCAAAGCTCGTCAGTACCCTTGGGGTATTGTACAAGGTAAATGAGATAAACAATGACTTTAAAATATATATATTGCATGAATCATGATGGCACGTAACTGTAATCCTGGCAAGTCAGGGGACTGAGGCAAGAGGATTTCAAGTTTGAAATGAGATTGGCAACTTAGGGGAGACTCTATCTCAAAATAAATAATAGAAAGGGCTGGAGATGTAGCTCAGTGGTACAGTGCCTCTGGGTTCAATCTCCAGTACCACAAAAATAAAACAACAAAAAATAAAAGAAAAAGAAAATAAATTATCTGTGTTGCCTCATAATCTGATGTATTTAATATATTCTTTTGAGGTAGTGCTTATTTTGAATTATGATTGGTTGTCAAAGGACTTAACTGTGTAATTTTTTGGCCAGTCTATAGTGGTGAGGCAGAGAAACCTCATTCTCACTGTACCACTCCCATTTTATCTCCCCTGAAGGCATCAGAAGGTGAGAAGCACTGGTTGGGTATTTTGATCAAAATTTGGATATTTTTTTTTGTAGGTGCTTGGGATTGAACCCAGAGCCTCACTGAGCTACATGCATCAGCTCTTGATCAAAATTTAAATGTGTAAAGTGGTATTTAAACATGATATATAAACTAATTACCACTTAACAATAGGGAACAATATATTATGTTCTTGTAAATTTATGTCTCTTTTTTCTGATCAAAATAGGGAACAATATTTTATGATCTTGTAAATTTATATCTTTTTTTTCCTGATCAAACAAATAAATCATTGAACCAAGTTGAAAAAGTTAAATCCATTTGACATTTAGGTTATCTGGCATTTAGTATTTAGTACTATCTGGTTATTTATTTGTGATATTAATGGGGAATAGAATACCCCTATCCATTTACTGGCCTTCCAAATACTGCTTTTTAAAAATTGACAACTTTTTAAATTTTTATTTTTAATACTTTTAATTTACTAAAAATATAGAAGGACCAGGCATGGTGATGAATGTTTCTAATGCCAGCTACAGGAGGCTAAAGCAGGAGGATTATGAGTTTATGGACAGCCTGAACAACAAAGTGAGATTCTGTCTCAAAAATAAATAAATACATGTAATATAAGATTGTTAGTCACAGTAGCATGTTTATAGTCATTGGTCGCCATAAGGTTACATAAAGGCTATATTAGTATATTCACTAATTTTGATTTCATAAATGTATTATAGAAAAAGAATTTGATAATTATGTATAAATGATATTCTTAAGTTTGCACAGTTTACTACTTTGAGGTGAAATAATATTACATACTCTTAAGAGTACTATGTGAAATGTTATATTATTTGTAAATATTAAAAACATTCGTGAAATATCTTGAGCATGTGATAATATATTTCTTTACCATTTTCTGTTGGCTATTAAATTTAAAGTCAGTTTCCCAGTCTGTTAATTAACATTGCCTATAATACAGTGTGTATAAGGTAAGACTTTGATTACTTGTATAAAATAATTGTAGCTATTAACCATATCAATCATTTTGATGTTTTTCACATGTGTTATTTATTCATTCGACAAACACTAATGTGTATGCCACAATTAAAAGCTAATGTTGCTTTTTCTTTTTTTGTGATTAGTGGAAAATGAAAACCACTGTGACTTTGTAAAGTTGCGAGAAATGCTCATTTGTACAAACATGGAGGACCTACAGGAGCAGACTCACACTAGGCACTATGAGCTCTATAGGCGTTGCAAACTGGAGGAAATGGGCTTTACAGATGTGGGCCCAGAGAATAAGCCAGTCAGGTAAGGAGTCTTTCTTGAGAAGCCAGTCAAAAGAGGAAGTTAGAAAGGATTATATCTTTTTATGTATCCAGTAAAATGGGAATGTGTTTTTTAAAAATTCCCAAACCCAGGAAATCGAACCATTTAACAATGAACATTTATTGTACTTTTTGAATCACTTGAATCCTTCTTGCTTCTGATGGGTCTTTAACTCCTTGTCTGAATCAAAGCCCATGATTTCAGAATACACTGGAATGAATAAGTGAAGGAAAAACACTCATTATTTGGTTTTATTTTTGTATTTATCTGAAACAGATGAAAGTATATTGAATAATTATCACCTAAAAAGTTGGGCTACAAATCATATTAAGTAACCTAAAACTTGATCATTTGGTTTTTATCCTGAAGAATGTTTTATGATGACTGAAATTTAGCAAAGCCTTTTGTAAGGAAAGAATGCAACTACTTCTAGGGAGTTCGAGATTAGGTTGTTTCTTACATTATTACAACATAGTTATAAGAATTTTTTAGAACCTGAAGACCTTCTTGCTTAATGATTAAAGCATAGAGAATTCAATGTTTCTATAAATGTCTTTGGAAATTTATATGGTACTATATCCCTGCCCTTTTTTTCTTTTTTGGTTGAGACATGTACACTAGAAATCTTAATCCTTTATATCAAATCTGATTATAGCATTTTTTGTCCAGTTTTGCTTGGAATAAAGCATGAGATCCTTAGGGCAAACACTATTTTAAACTCTGTTTTGAGACTGAGGATTCTTTCATTCTACTATTTATATTCCATTTTCCTGCCTGTTAGCATGTGCCCCAGAGTAAACACAACAGTAAAGAACTAGAGAGTCCAATCAGTGTTGTAATTGCCCTTGATCTTGTGGAAGATTAAATCTTAGATGAAGTTAAATTTTATTAGTATATAATATTGTAGTATGATAAATTAAGAATTATATGTACTTGATCTTTCCTCACCAAATTTGGGTATGCTGTATTCTGGTCATGGACCAATAATTGTGATAAACTAACGATTTTCTTATTTTATTGTATTATATCTTTACTAAAGATTAATCATCTCAAGTTGGCTTCCCTAGTGTTTCCCAAAGGAGGCTTCGCTTCTCGTTTCTTCCAAGCCTCAGGGTCAGTGCAAAGGTCTCTGTGTGCACTAAGGAGGCAGATACCCTGAGAGAGCAAGCGGGACAGCTTTGGAGTAGTACTCTCTAAGAAGAGGGATCCAGGTTGCCTGGTGGACTCATCATAGTCACCTGTAGATGATTAAGAAATACAGGGTCAGAATTTCCAGGGATGGAGTCTAGAAATCTACATTTTAAAATGTTCATTCAGTCTTGCAGCCAATAATTACTATTTGTCTACCGTCTGCTCAGCATGCTAGACTTTGGGTACGTATGCACAGTGGGTCAGATGGACATTCTGGGGTGGGTGTGGAAGGAGGACACTCTGCCCTGTGTGAGCAAGAGAGGATGGGTGGTAGTCAGTAGTGGAATTGGGAGACCAAGTTAGGAGACCAGGTACAAGTTCGTAGAGACTTAAAAAAGGTTAGTGGTAGAGGAATGAGAAGCATTTTTAGGATATATAATTTTAAGAATCCAGTAGTGGATTGGTTTGAATGTGGGATGCAAAGGAAAGAGAATCAAGGATTACTTCAGTGACTCTTTTTATTTATTTGCACCACTTGGTATCAATCCCAAGGCCTCATGAATGCTAGGCAAGTGCTCTACTACTGAGCTACATCCTGAGCCCTTAGTCACCATTTTTATCTTAGAAACAGGGTGAATAGATGTCGTGTTTATTCCCACATAAACAAGGTGGGACAGGGAGAATTTAGCACTGGCATTGCTAATTGAGAGGTTTTTAAAATATTAAATTTAAGATGCTTATTAAATGTTCATAGCTGGCTGTGGTGGCATATGCCTGTAATCCCAGCAACTCAGGACAGGCAAGAGGATCTTAAGTCCAAGGCCAGCCTCTGCAACTTAGCTAGGCCCTAAGCAACTTAGCAAGCTCAGTGGTAAAGCACTCCTGTATTCAATCTCTGTACCAAAATAATAACAATAAAAATAATGATAATTATAATTTTAAAATTCAGTTAATGTCTTTGAGTAGGTTATAACATAAATAAAAAATTGAAAATTTGGAATTTGAGAAAGTAGGGATGAGATAGTAATTTGGGAGTCACTAGTGAAAAATACTAGATACTGGATAAAATCATGAGTGGTTTTGAAGTGTCTGCTTTTTTGTTGTTGTTGTTGAGTTGCTGGGGCATGCATGCTATGAACTCAGCTCTACCACTTCCCACCTCCAATGTGTCCAAATAGGGTGGGAGCAATAAGGAGGGGAACTGGATCCCAGTGTGAGAATAGCTTCTACCTGTTCCCCTTAACAGGGGAAATTTCCTTGGTTTAAGCTGAGGGAAAGTATTTCTACTAGTGCTTTCTTATTTGTTACTAAATGATGTGATGAGGCTTCTGTAGCCTGATATATTGGAAACTTTCATTTTTTAGAATTTTCAAGAATTTACATTTTACTTTCAGGTGAATCTTTCATATTTAATTTGGTAGTCTCTATAATTTGGTTGTCATATAAAATGTATATTAATCTAGCAATTTTTAAAAGAACTTAGATGCACTTGTTAGGATGACCTTTATTTCTCTTTGTCTTTATCAGCCCTCTTCATTGGTTTTCCATTTCTACTTATGCTGAGTCATAGTTGGGATCCTAAGCTGCCCACAGTGATCATGTATATCCAGATACATGGCATTACACTCTTACTGGTTTTAAAAACTTGATTTTAATGTTTTATATTGGTTATTTAAACTATATGAAACATGCTTTTATAAAATTTTGAATCCCCAAGTTTAAGAATTTCAGATTAGCGTACTAGTCTTTTCACAGTTAATCACCTTTAATATTTCAGTACAAAATCACTATCATTTAAGTGTTGTAGGACCTATAGTTTTGAAAGGAAGATTTATTAATATTTTAGAGTTGCTTATTATATTAACATTTTTTGTCTTTGGAGCCCTCGAGATAAATAACTCACTTTCTGTGTTTAGTCAAGAGTAGACTTAGAAAAAAGTTCATCAGTCATATTCAAACTATCCATGAAACACCCAAACAGGTCACCTAGAGAAGGGCGTGGGCACTTTCCTTGATGGCATGAGCATCTGAGAATGTTTTCTTCTTCTTTGGTTTTCAACTTTGTCAGTGAGATCTGCAGTTATAGCATGTGGTCATTAAATGTTCATAACAAAGCTACTTTTATACTAAGGAAAGAAATAGTATAGCAAGAAAGCTTTTTCATTTAATAAATCCATGATATAGTAAATAGTGGTTGCAGTCATTTCACAAAACTAACCCTACAAAATATTCAGAAGCAAGCACTTTACTCTCCCTTCAGAGAATGCCTTGCTTGAAGCAGTCTGATTTATGATGTTTGGGAATAGGGGCTTTAGAACAAGTATGATCTAGTTCACATCCCAGCTTATTACTTTAAAGCTATGTTACTTAGGACAAATTATTTTACCTCTCTGAACTTTCATTTTCTTACCCATAATATAATTGTTCTTGTATGTTACTGTGGAAATTAAATATTGAACATGAGTTCAAAAGTGTTCATTGCTTGTGGCAGATATTCAACAAATGTTATGTCTCTTTTCTTTATCCTGTAGATTTATTTTCTTCCTAAGCAACTCCAGTACTTGTACAAAGTAGTGTGGCATTTTTTAAGTTACATTTTATATGACATCAAGATATTATTTCAATTGAATTTGTTCTTAAAGGGTGTCAATTTGTTCTTATTAGTGTGATACCAATAACACGTAGTGAGGTTTATAAAATTTGTGAAGGTAGCTGATAAATTTAGGGGCTTTTAAAAAATGAGACTCAAACAGGAAAGATAAAAAAAAAATAGTACAAAGTAAAATGCCTCTTTGGGATCTGAGGCAGTTTATGTGGTACCTAAGACATTTTATACATTTATAAGCTTTGCTCATGCATGGTAGGAAAACATTACTGATAAGCTACATACCCAGAGTAAGCTTTGTTGTTGTTGTTGTTGTTGTTGTTGTTGTTTGTAGTTGTAGATTGACAGAATGCCTTTATTTTATTCATCTATTTTTATGTGGTGCTAAGGATCGAACCCAGTGCCTCACAATGCTAGGCAAGCTCTCTGCACTGAGCTACAGCCCCAGCCCCCTAAGCTTTGTTCCTTATGAGGATGTTCTTACAGATGTTTAGCTTCTGTTCCTAGTATTAACTACTACACATATCATAAATTTAACTAACAGCATTGTGCAACATTTTTTACTGTTTTTCCTTGAACTTTTTCTAGTTACAGTGTTTAAGATTAGTCAAATTCCTTAATTTCATCACATTTTTAAATCTGTTTTTATGTATTTTCATAAGTAGTAGAAATTTCTAACTGACATAGAAGGAAAGTGAATTTATATTACCTGTCAGACCTTCAGGGTATTCTCTCAGAGAGCAAAAATGGAAGAGATCCACATTTCTGACATATAAGTAGGTTTATTATGCCTCTGGAATATCACTAGTAAGAAAGGGTAGTTGTCCATAGAATTCCAGGACAATCTTTGCTCTGCTTGATTTTATCTGCCTCTACTAACCAGAAGTTTCTGTTACTGAACAAACATTTATGAAGAGCTTTGCTAGGTAGCCAAGTGAAGATGACAAATGGAGATCCCATTCCTGTTCTCAGGATTTGTGATCTGTTGGGAGAGAGAGTCAGCCAAGATATAAATGACAAGAAGTGGCTTGGAAGGAACAGTTGATTCTAACTAAGAAAGTGGAGACGCCTTCTAGAGAAAGTTGCATCTGCCTTTGGCCTTGAGGGATAGAAGAATATGAGGGCAGAAGGAGGGTGGGGAGAAGGCAGCATCAGAAACAAAGAAGGTACAATATTGCTTGAAATGTGAGGTATATTTTAAGAACAGTGAATAGATTTGTGTGGCTGGAACATTAAGGGAATTGGATTTGTTTGTTGGGAAATGAATCTGGAAAAGTAGAATTGAAGGAGGTGGGACCTTATTCTATAGAGAGCATAACTAATTGGGAGAAAAGTTAAGGAGGTCTGTGGTTTTGGTGGAAAATCTAAGGAGTGGCAGGAACAAAGTGAAAAAAAGAGGACCTAGAAGTCTAGAGATGATTTAGAAGATTATTTCAACAGTAAAGGCAGAAAATGCAAAGATCAATTTGGGCTGTAATAGGATATCTGTAGAAGTGGAAAGAATATAGACTTTAATGATATCAGATAGAGAAAGGTATAAGAGATCTATCCCAGGTGACTTTATTTCTTCAATGTTTCTGGAGTTATGCCAGTTAACAGAGACTAAAAAAGGAAAATGTTTGGGAGGGTACTTCTTGTGAAGGACTTTTTTTTTTTTTTTTTTTTAATCTAGTAGCTACATTAGCTGTAGCACTGGAGGCCTTTTATCAAATGCTATAGGACATGGCATGTTTCAGATTCTGTACAGCTACTGGTACATCCTATTATATATCTGAGGTCTACTTTGAGGTATATGAGATTTATCAAATTTATTACATCATCTTTTGAACATGAGAATAACACAAATAACTTTTTTTAGTGTTCAAGAGACCTATGAAGCCAAAAGACATGAATTGCATGGTGAGCGTCAGAGAAAAGAAGAAGAAATGAAGCAGATGTTTGTGCAGCGAGTAAAGGAGAAAGAAGCCATATTGAAAGAAGCCGAAAGAGAGGCAAGTTTGATGTGATTTTTTTTTGGTGTCCTATTTCTTTGGACCAATGTAGTTGAGACACTTTTTACTTTTTTTAAAATTTTATGAATTCTGTCTTTAAGAAAAACAAGTCCTAATATCCATTTGGAGATCACACATTCAAATTAGGGTAAAAGAAAAAAAAAAGGGAAACTAGGATAGGATCATAAAATAGGCAGGGGTTAGGCAGTAATAATACTGCAATAACTTGTACAAAAATTGTTCTCTGAGCTTCCTTGCAGCCAGTCCAGAAAAGGAAATCTTAGCAGCTCTCATAGGCATTAAGTCTGCACCAATGAAAGCCTGATAAGCAGGAATTAGCAGAGGGCTTAGGGTACAGAAGTGGAAATAAGCATTGGTTGTGGGCTGTCACAATGCTGTGCTGCTGTCCAGAATACATCACAATGGAAAAGGAGTACACAGTTTTACCAAGACTGTTGTCTGAGCTGCTTTGTGTACTCAAATTGTGGAATGGATGTGTAAGTGAGAATTCTCAAGTGTTGGAAACACATACTCATGTTTCATTGACATTTCTAGGTTTCTACTTTCTTTTTGTCATAGAGTAAAAAGGAAAGTATTTAATGCCAACAGGTAACCAGTTTACAAGAATCCTATTGTGTCATGAGTAGGGCTAAAAACAACTCATTTCTGTTGGTATTGTGAGATAATGACTAAATCTTCATACACTGATTTCAGACCTCACCTACGTTTGGCCATATGAGTTATCATCTTGCATGATGATAAAAATAAAAATATTTTTATGTGAAAGTTTTAGTTCATGACCATTTCTTATTGTACCTATTTTTTAAAAGTATTACTGTGAATTACATTGTTGGTCTTGTTTCATGCTTGGAAAAACTAAATTATAATAAAATATGGAGCCAAGAGTAGGATGATGACACTGGGGCCTGTTAGTCTTAGTTCTGTGTGCAACACTCTTTAAACCATTTAACTGTTTGAATTTTTCTTTTATAATGTATTCCCACATAGTGATATTGATACATTTTGGCAGTAGTTGTTTTGAGGTGTCATAAAAGTTGAGAATATGAATCTCCTAATATCTGGTGCTCCTCATTCTACCCTGAATTGAGAATATTGCTTCCATTCTCTGGCCTCCCTCATGAGTTGTTAGGATGCGGACACATGGGAAACCAGTGGGAATAGTTGGCCAAACATTGATATTTGCTAGGAAGTTCTTTCATGAGAGCTCGTTGATTCCTGCTGTCTGAAGGGCTGGAGAGAAGTGATGGTTGTAGAGGTCCAAGGCATTGCCAACCTGAGATTGAACCTGGACCACAATCTCTCAGTCTTAACAAAGTTTTTTCCATAGACCAAGTTTTGCCCACTTTCCTTATCCCCAGAAGACTCAGGGTCAGCAAAACGGATCAGGTCCAGAATGCAGATAGTGTGTGATGAAGAAGAGTAACATTTTGCTGCCTTAGGTAAATCAGTAGGGCCATAATAAAATGGAAACTGTGTCTGTATGAGTTACTTCTAATGGAGTCAATAGTAACCATGTGATGTATACTTTGGGATAAAAAGCCTTAAAAGCTTAAAATCAAAACTCCCAACTCATTCCTTTACCCCTTTCTCAGCAGGTCTGCTCAGGAGACAAGTTTATTCCTATGGATCCTGCTCCTCTGCCCATCTTTCTAGTTTGTTCCTATGGATCCTGCCCCTCAACTTTTAAAGGCTACATTTTAAAGTAGCTATTTCAGCTGGGCATGGTAGTGCACACCTGTAATCCCAGTAACTCAGGAGGCTGAAGCAGGAGGATCTCAAGTTTGAGGCCAGCCTTAGCAACTTAGAAGTACTCTGTAACCTTTCAAGGTATTTTAGTATGCAAATAAAGTATGTCACTTCGATTTAAGTAATCAGAGATTCGTCTCTGTTTACATAAAACCAATCTGCCTGTATAGGCTCCCTTCCTGAGCTTCTACTCTGCTCGCCTCCCATGTGATAGGGGTGCACCATGCTCAGAGAGTTGTGCCTCTTACACCATTGACCTGCTTTTTGTTTCTGTTTTGTAGTTCTGGAGACAGAACCCAGGGCCTTGTGCATACTGGACAAGTGCTTTCAACCACTGAGCTGATCAAAGTGATCTATTTATTACATTTCTTGTTTTTTTTTAATATTTATTTTTTAGTTATAGGTGGACACAATATCTTTATTTTTTTATGTGGTTCTGAGGATTGAACCCAGTGCCTCATGCATGCTAGGCGAGTGCCCTACCTCTGAGCCACAACCCCAGCCCCTACATCTCTTGTTTTGAAAAGCATAAACTATTTAAATAAGCAAATACTAAGGAGCTGATACTTCTCAGAAAAGGCATCCTCTGGAATGAAGGAATTATAGGTTAGAAGGGCCTTACTTAGTCATGTTTCAACCTTGTCTCATTTTCAATACTTCTGTCAGAGGCTCAGTGGCCCACAGGACCATTTACTTATTCCATGTATGGAACATGAAATTTTTATTAGAATTTAGCCATCTATTGTTTCTACCCTCATTCTCTGACTTAATGAATTATTTCCCCAACTATTTTGTTATTATTGTTGTTGGCATTATAGCAGGCATTACAAAGCCATAGATTGATTTTTTAAATTTTTTTTAAAAATTTTAATTTTATTTCTTTTATTAGATATACATGACCATAGAGTGTATTTTTACATATTACACATACATGGAACATGACTTATTCTAATTAGGATCCCATTCTTAATGGTTGTATGATGTGGAGTTTCACTGGTGGTGTATTCATATATAAACAGGAAAGTTGTGTCCAATTCATTCTACTGCCTTTCCTATTTCTACCCTGCTCTTCCCTTCATTCCCCTTTGTCTAATCCCCCCTGTCGTGTGTTAGCATCTGTATAACAGAACATTTTGCCTTTGGTTTTGGGGGATTCACTTATTTCACTTATTAGTGATAATGTCTAGATGCATCCATTTACCAGCAGAAGTCATTGTTTCTTATGGCTGAATAATATTTCATTTTCTTTATCCATTCATCGGTAGAAGGACATGTAGGTTGGTTCCAAAGCTTAGCTATTGTGAATTGAGCTGCTTTAAACATTGATGTGGCTGTGTGCTGATTCTAAGTCAGCACATTTTAAGTTATTTTAAGTATATACCCAGGAGTGAGATAACTGGATCCAATGGTGGTTCCATTCAAAGTTTTTGGAGGACTCTTCATACTGTTTTCGAGTGGTTGCACCAAATTACAGCCCCATGAACGTACCTTTTCCACATCTTTGCCACTATTTATTGTGTTATTTGTATTTTTGATGATTGCCATTTTGACTAGAGTGAGATAGAATCTAACTGTAGTTTTAATTTGCATTTCTCTAATTGCTAGAGTTGTTGAACATTTTTTCATATATTTGTTGACCATTTGTATTTCTTCTGTGAAGTGCTTGTTCAGTTCCTTTGCCCATTTATTATTTGTTTTTTTGGTGCTAAGTTTTTTGAGTTCTTTATATCCTAGAGATTAATGTTCTATCTGAGGTGCAGGTGGCAAAGATTTTCTCCCATTCTGTAGGCTTTCTCTTCACATTCTTGATTGTTTCCTTTTCTGTAAAGAAGCTTTTTAATTTGATACTCTCCCATTTATTGATTCTTGATTTTATTTCTTGTGCTTTAGGAGTTTTGTTGAGGAAGTCAGTTCCTAAGCCAACATGATGGGCTATATTTTTTTCCTATTAGGTGCATGGTCTCTGGTCTAGGTGCATGGTCTCTGGTCTAATGCTTCCGTCCTTGGTCCACTTTGAGTTGAGTTTTGTGCAGGATGAGAGATGGGGGCTTAATTTTATTTTGTTACATATGGATTCCCAGTTTTCCCAGCACCATTTGTTGAAGAGGCTTTTCTCTAGTGTATGTTTATGGCACCTTTTGATAACTATATTTATGTGAGTTTTTCTCTTATCTTCTTTTCTGTTCTGTTGGTCTTCCTGTCTGTTTTGGTGTCAATATCATGCCATTTTTGTTACTAGAGTCCTGTATTATAAATTAAGATCTGGTACTGTGATGCTTCTTGCTTCACTTTTCTCACTAAGGATTACTTTGGCTATTCTGGGCCTCTATCTGGTCTTGGGCATGTCTTAGTTGGTAGGCTTTGGATGGTATTTTTAATTTCATTGCCTGAAATTCATCTGTTTAAGTTTTTCTATGTCCTCTTTATTCAATTTTGGTAGGTCGTCCTAGAAATTTGTTGATGTCTTAAAGATTTTCTGTCATATTGCGGTATAAATTTTCAAAATAGTTTCTAATTATCATCTTTATTTCAGTAGTGTCCATGGTGATATTTCTTTTCTTTTTTAATCATCGATTTTAGTAATTTGAGATTTTGCCCTCTTTCTCTTGATTAGCTTGGCTAAGGGTTTATCAATTTTTTATTTTATTTTTTTTTAGAGAATGAGCTTTTTGTTTCATTGATTTTTTTTTAATTTGTTTTATTTGGTTCTTCAATTTCATTGATTTCAGCTCTGATTTTAATTATTTTCTGTCTTCTGCTTTTGGTGTTGACTTGTTCTTCTTTATCTAGGGCTTTGAGATGTAATGCTAGGTTATGTATTTGGTGACTTTCTATTCTTTTAGTGAATTAGCTCTGTACAATGAGCTTTCCTCTTAGAACCGCCTCCATAGTGTCCCAGAGGTTTTGATATGTTGTGTTGTTATTCTCAACATATTTTTTTATTTCACCTCTGATTTATTCTGCCATCCATTAGCCATATATAAAATAGTGTAATATTTAGTCTCCAGGTGTTAAAATAGCTTCTTTTTAAAATTTTATTATTTCTAATTTCATTCCATTATTATCTGATGGAATACAAGCAAAGTATTATCTCAATTGTTTATTATTATTTATTTTTGTATTTTCTAAGATTTGTTTTGTGGCCTAAGAATGGTCTGTTCTAGGACAGGATCTGGTTGCTGCTGAGAGGAAAGTGGATTCAGTCATTGATCGATGAAATATTATATGTATGT